TGATTACAACTCATTAAATGCACATCCAAGTCTTCGAGAAGTGTGAGAGCAGTCATCAATACAAAGCATTAATTGTGAAGGCGTTGACCTTCTATCCTCGGTGAAACCCAAAGGTTGCTTATTCCCGAGCAATGAACACTCGGGCGTAGGTGTCAAGCACCGAGCAATGGTATTTAATGGTCGGAGATAGGGCCATTAAGGCTCGACAGGACCAGAGTGAATCGGTCTTGAGAGGCTTTGATGGGACAACATTAATTACGCATGGATATGAGTGTGAGCCATTAAATGTGTAGATGAGATTCAAAGATCCTGCAATCATTACTAATTCAAGTATAAATACCCCTTAGAAAGATGAATAAAGATACGCAACATAAACTCAGTAAATATATAGTGTTAAGGTCTCTAATACTGACAGACTTGAGTTTCAAAGGAGATTATCCAGGTGATCACCTAGTCCATTTTCTAACCTTTTGATCGTTTCAAATTCATCATCCTGTGAATCGCTATTTGAACATATTGCAGGAAAACACCCGTGCAATAACCATATGTAAACTCACAAATATTACTATGCAAGTCTCTCGCTTTATGTTTCTATTTATAACATGAGATTGTTTTTGTTGAAACTTAATTTTTTATTATTTTTCCTACAAAAAGTAGTCTGAATACAATTGAAAACAATAATTTGTAAACATATTGCGTGTGCCAATTCAAAGAATAAAAAGCTTGGCAAATGCTACATTTCTATTGAATGAAAAAGTGGAGGTATGATATTCAAAAATTATATTTTTATACATAGTTAGACCCAATAATAAACTATACAAAAAATAATGATTGATCATGGTTTTGTCAAGATCAAAAGGAATTTAACACCTGCATGCGTTGACTTCTGCCTTCCAGAGAAGTTACTCTTGATCCATCAAACTCAATGGAGTCCAAACACATTATATTGGGGATAATGACCTTATAATTACGTAATAATCAAGTTGATTGCGATAGAAATTGTAATTTTGAAGTAAAGAAAGAGGTCCCACTTTTCTAATCCTTTTCTTTTCATTGTTTCGGTGATTCACTTATTTTTAAGCTAAGGTCCACACGCAAATGACTGCCTTCTCCACCCAAAGTAGGGGGTGATGAAATGAAATGTCAATGAGGTGAAGTGAATGATGGGCCTCCAACCCGAATGTAGCTGAATTGGTACCAAGAATGAGTTGTCTATTTAGACGTCTTGAATTTGAATTTAGTAACTCCTTGAAGTCAGGCTATGAGAGATTTATCCCTCATAAATATCATAATCCTTACGTAGATAGCTTGCCTTTGACCGAACTGAGAGGGAATTAATCGAAGTGCACGTAAGTTGATTCAAACACCCCTAACCATTAAACTAAAAACAAAAAATGTGCATTATTGTTATTGTGTGTATGAGCATGAGTGTAATTAAGACCAATCAATCCAAATTTAATTGAGTATGACTTTTTTTTTGGTCATTAATTGAGTATAACTAGAAATATTGCAATAAAGATTTTCATTTCTAGGGTTGGGTTTGAATCCGAGCAATACTTGTGTTAAGAGTCTCGGATTTCGAGGACCCAACTTGAATAAGTGATTTCATGGGCTCATTTTGAATAAGTGATTTCGTGTTCAGCCTAATTTATAATTCAAATTGTGTATTCCAAAAATCAACTCCTAACTACACCCAATTTGACTTCGGATTTCAACATAAAAAATAAACTCCAAGAATTTAATCAAAATTTTAAACTGAGTTGTGTAATTTGAGCTAAACTCAAATCGGTATAAATAATTAAGTATCGAATTAAATTCAAGTTGAATATAAATTGACATTTCTCAACTCACCTGACCCAGAGAGAGAGAGAGAGAATTTGAAGGTTGAATTGTGAAAAGAGGCCCAAATGATAAAGTGAGTCTTTATTAAAGTCTTCCAATCAAGTTTATCATGACACCGTAAAAATATCTAAATCACTTAAAAATGAAGTTAGTCCATACTGTAAAGTATGAATTACAAATCAACATGTCATATCACTGGGCAACCATTAAATTATGTTAGATCAAACAGATTTATTCTATGACATTAGAGTATTTTTGCAATCAAACAACCGAAAACCCCTAAAAGGAATGAGATAAATGTGATGACACACAATACAAATTCCCCATTACACGATTGCATACAATTTGTTGTACATTGTACAAATTGAATTACACAATTTTACCAACGAGCCTTTGTTCCAATAGTTCAAGTCTCTCTTCTCCTTTCCCCCTAAAAAAAATATACATAAAAAAAAAGGAATTACACAACTTCACTAGTTTACATGACTATATACAATTTGTACATTGCACAAATTGAATTATACACCATTGCAATGGGATCAAACATAAGTTTTATAACATAATTTATACACAATACGGATCTGATATAATTCGATCCTACTCTAATTGGGGATAAGAGCTTTCACTTAATGCAATCATCTGATACATCACGAAAAATTGGAGAATATTATAAAGAATAATGAAGTTTAAACAACATTTATTGATACAATTACTGACTCGATCATTTGTTATTACTATATTTCCAATTAGTCCTTTCTTTTTTGAACTGTATAGTAAATTTCATTCAAAAATTAAGACGGTGGAATACAATCTTGTTGTAGTATTTCCTCTAAGTTAGATTGAATAGTTGCTAAGTTCTATTTTTTGTAGGTACATGAAATGGATATGCGAATAGATTACTCTACATATCTGTCAGGGAGCATTGCCCTTTAACACTATACTGCTATCTGCAGGAGACTCCATCACACTTACATCGGGACCGAAGCAAAAGTCTCACTGCGTGCTCTGGGAGCTAAAGAGTATATTTAACCTCACCGAATTGCCGTAGTTATGGAGATTCAAACCTAAATATTGAGCGAGGAAATTTGATTGTCAACTAATAATGATTATGTATTGACTTACCCAAAAAATAAAAATTGTATTGATACCCATGTCCCCTATTATCACCGGTTGATATAACATTTAAACAAGCAATGAAGCGTGCACTAGCATGTTCCGTATTTAAGTTATCATCAATTGCATAATAATTTGTCTTCCTGGATGCGAGTAACAAGTGATTGCATCCATTAGATCGAATTTGTGTTATAATTATGAATCAAAGAATTCGTGATTTAAATGACTCTTCATTCGCATATATCTCTGGTGGGTTTTCTGTTCTTTTTTTTTTTGTTTGGCTAGGGATGGTGGGTGAGAAACAGCTGAGCTCATGTAGAACGAGAAGGAATAAAGTCCCTTTTGGTTGAACTTCAATTCTATGCGCTTGTGTTCCAATTTCTATGGATGAATGTGTTAATTGTTCCTTATTTTCTGAGTTGGAGAAAAATGGTCCAATCTGGATGTCTTCCACAACAACCATGTTGCTGTGTCGTTTTTCACAATGATGTAGATTCGGTTTCTCATAAGAAAACGAGTAAGGAAATTAATGTGTGTTTGGCTTAATTTTTTATTTTTGTGAGTTCTTATCAAATATCAAAATTTCGTTTCAAAATATTCAAAACAGATGAAACATTTTTATGTTTAATAAAATTGAAATAAATTAGTGATAAGATTAAAATTTTAATATTTTAAAGTGTTTCTAGATATTTCGGCATACACCCATCTAAAATACATATCCAAAACTGATATTTACATCAAAATTTTGGTGGAAAAGGTCCAAATTTCACAGTACATCAAATGTTGAGACAGATGATGTCATCTACTGTTTTGGTGACCAGGCTGCCTCTGCCTGTATATTTATATATGCTTTTGTGCATAACCTTAGTCCCCCCAACCAAGTTCTCCCTCTTTCTCTCTCTCTCTCTCTCTCTCTCTCTCTCTCTCTCTCTCTCTCTCCCCCCCC